AGCTCAAAGGCTGTCAAAGGTTGCATGGCTACATCATACATGTGTTAAGTGGTTGCATAAGGACTCTGTATGCAGAAACCATTTGGACCTGGGACCATGCGGAGCTGGCTCAGGAGAGTGACAGGTGGGTACTGAGGAGAAACCACTGGGGTGGGAGAAGGAAAAGAGTTGGGAGCAGGAACAGGAGAGAGGGAGAAGCCAGGATATCAACTGGCCCATCTCTTCTTATTATTAAAAGGTGGGAGATTAAACAGGGGTTATCAGGTAGGCAGGAATATGCCAAATCCTCAAGTCTGCTTCCAGCTGACTTAGTGGTATTGCCATCTTTGAGGTGGGAGGAAGAAAAAGCTGGGGTGCTGCCACGTCCTGGGGTAGCTGGTTATTTCATTGCAGTCCAGGCTCTTTGGAAATCTCTGGTGCCTCTTGGACCTTTACATTCACTCAGGAGGCCCAGATGGTTGATTTGAGGGCCTCTGGACATGCTTTGTTTCTCCAGATCTGTGGCTACCAGCAGGCATCCCTGTAACAACATATATAGATGAAAAAAATCTAAATGGATATATATATATATATATATGTATGTATGTATGTATGTATGTATGTATGTACATATAGATGACTTAGGTGGTATTGTCGTGTGTGTGTGTGTGTGTGTGTGCGTGCGTGCGTGCGTGCGTGCGTGCGTGTGTGTGTGTGTGTGTGTGTGTATTTTAGGAAGTTTCTGCAGATCCAGATGTAGAACTCTCAGCTCATTCTTGGCACCGTGTCTGCCTGCATGCCACCATGCTTCCTGTCATGATAATGGACTAAACCTCTGAACTTTAAGCAAACCCTAATTAAAAGTTTTCCTTTATAAGAGTTACTATGGTCATGGTGTCTCTTCACAACAACAAAACCCCAAGACAAGCACCAGCCCAGCTACAAAACCTGTGATCCACAATAAAGACCTGACTGCATGATCTGCTGGTGCAAAGGGGATGCAAACATCGTGGGAGTAACCAACCTCTGCTTATATCTAAGGCCCACTCCACAAGATGGAATCCATGCCTGACACTGCTTGGGTAGCCAAGAATCTGAGACTGGGTAGGCCATGGACCCATGGGAAAACCAAATACTAATGTTATACTAAAGGAACACAACAATAAAATGACTCCTACCAACACTCTGCTACACCCATAGATCAGTGTCTTGCTCAGCCTTCACCAGAGAAGCTTCTTGCAATAGATGGGAACTAACAGAGACCCTTAAGCAGACAATGTGCAAAGAGGGAGTGACTGGAACACTCAGTCCTAAATGGAATATCTTCATCAAACCCTCCTCTTCAGGGCTCAGGGAGCTTTATGGAAGAGAAGGCCGATGGATACCTAAAGAAGTGTCACTGGGTATATAAACCAAGCTTTATGCTAGGCCACCTGCCTAGCAGCAGATACTAATGAATTCAATGTTTTAGACAGACTTCTTTTTTTGGGAGTGGGGACACTAGCTCACAAAATAATGACACAGAGACTTATTATTAATTATGAAAACTGGGCCTTAGTTTAGGCGTGTTTCTAACTAGCTCTGATAGCTTAAACTAACCCATAGTTTTTAATCTACATTCTTCCATGAACGCATTACCTCATCACCATCATGCCCATCATTATTTCACATCTGGCTGGCAACTCCGCCTGTCTTCTTCCCAGAGCTCTCTGCTCAAAAGTCCCTGCTATAACTCCTGCATATCCATAGGCCATTTAGCTTTTTTTGTTTTTCAAGACAGGGTTTCTCTGTGGCTTTGGAGCCTATCCTGGCACTCGCTCTGTAGACCAGGCTGGTCTCAAACTCACAGAGATCTGCCTGCCTCTGCCTCCCGAGGGATTAAAGGCATGTGCCGCCACTGCCGGGCTTAGCATTTTACTAAACCAACCACAGTGACATATCTTCACACAGTGTAAAGGAATGGTATTTTTGGAGACTTTCTGTCTCATATTGCATTGTTTGAGCATTTTTGTTTTATTGATCTCTTGCTTGCATATTTTGGTTTCTGCTTTTTATTTTGTGTTTTGTTTTGTTTGTTTTTTTAAAGAGAGAGAGATAAGAGGCTAGAATTGGGTGAGTGGGGAGGTGGGAAGAATTAGGAGGAAAACGTGATCAAAATATACTGTATGAAAAAAAATTCAATTAAACAACTGTAAGAGAAAAATAACTGGTTCTGAACTTCCTCTTTCCGATGACGTACATGAAGTCCGGTCACAATGTATGAACTTCATCTGTGAGTGGAGGGACTCCTATGGGTCTGGCCTCAATGGTCACCAGAAGAATCTAATATCAGGGTCACATTGTACTGGCTTTCCCAAAGTCATACATCCTGAGTGGTCACCAAAGCAACCAAGAAAATCAATAAGCTTGTGCCATGACGTGGTTTCAGATATAGAGAACAATTTATTGCAGTGATAACTACTGAACCTGGGGTAGCAAACTGTGGGAATGGGATAGGGCTGTCTGGTGGGAATCCCGTTGTTATTATTTTCTGTACTTATTTTGAGACAAGCTCTCACTGTGCAGCCCAGTGAGAACTCACGGAGCTGAACTCACGGAGCCCTGCATGCCTCTTTCTCTTGAGTGCTGGGAGTAAAGCCATGCACCACCATGCCCAGGTTTTTGTTTATTTTTGGGTTTTTGAGACAGGATTTCTCTGTATAACATCCCTAGCTGTTCTGGAACTCTTTGTAGAACAGACTGGCCTCGAACTCACAGAGATTCTCCTGCCTCTGCCTTCCAAGTGCTGGGATTAAAGGTGAGTGCCACCACACCTGGCAGTTTTTATATGTTTTATGTTTGAGTAACTGGCAGTAAATTAAACCATCCTTGTGAAACTTGGTAAATATATATATTTTCTCTGGAAGTACATTTTCATTATGCATTTCATTAACTTTCAATGTTCCTTTGTTCATATATGATTTAAACTTAAATCACTTTCAGTGTAGTGCATCTGTGACCAATGAATAAATAAATAAATTTAGTAAACATTTAAAAGATAATTTTTAGCTGGGTGGTGATGGCACACACCTTTAATCCCAGAACTCATGAGGCAGAGGCAAGCAGATCTCTGTGAGTTTGAGGCCAGCCTGGTCTACAGAGTAAATTCCAGGACAGCCAGGGCTATTACACAGAGAAATCCTGTCTCGGGAAAAAAAAATTAAGATTTTTGTTTTTAAGTATGTATGTATATGTATGTATGTATATGAATGTGTTCTATGGGTTTAATTTGAACCACATGCATGCAGAACCCATGGGAATCAGAAAGAAACAGATATGGGTTCCCTGGAACTGGGGTTACAGGCAATTGTGAGCTGCCATGTGGGTGCTGAAGAACCAAACGTGGGGCCTCTGAAGAGCAGTGATCACTCTGGATCACTCATTTACTTAAATTTTAAAGGAGCTGAAGAAATAGCTCAGCAGTTGAGAGCCTCTTGCAGAACACCGCCACTGTTTACAACAGCCTGTAACTCCAGCTTCAGAGAACTGGTGACTGCTTATGGACTCATATGTGGGTACACACACACACACATATACGTACACATGATTTAAAATAATAGTAATAGGGACCTGACCTGGTGGTGGTGCACTCCTACAGAGCCTCACTGGGGAGATGGAGATGGCAAATACCCCAGGGGCTCACTGGCCAGAAAGTGAGAAATTAAGTCAGGATGGAACTGGGTGTGGGCATGGTGGTGCATGCCTTTAATCTCCATCATGGACTCTTGCCTGAAGTAACTTGAAATAAACCCTCCCCTCCCCAAGTCGCTTTTGGTTATGGTGTCTTATCACACCAATTAAAATCCTAGCTAAGACACCTAGCCTGCATGAAGCCCTGGATTCTATCCCCAGCGCCATGTAAACCAGATTATGGTGGCACACACCTGTCATCCCAGCACCTGTGAGGAAGCAGAAGGAACAGGGTCATCTGGCTATCCAGGGAGCTCCAGGCCAGCCTGGACTACAGAAGAGCTTGGGGGGAAAAGCAAAGTTATTTTAATGCTGTCTCTCCTCCGCCTGGCATTTGTCTTAGCCCCACGTGACCCTAAGTGGGAAGCATAGGTCCAGCCCCGGGGAATGAAGTTGTTTGCAGCAGTAAATTAGATGAAGACAGGTCTTTCACAGCCTCGGGGTCCAGGCTGAAGGACTTGTTGGCCAGAGCACTGCAGAGTCAAAGAAAATGTGTGAGCAGGAGACAGATGGGAAAGATGTGGGCCTAGGCTGAGTGTCCAGGAACTGAAGGACAGGAGCATGGAGATGACAAAGGGAATTCAAGATGAGTGCCAGGCATAGGCTTGACTCGAGGTGGGAGCTCCTGTAGGGAGTGAGTGAAGGTAACAGATGTTCAGTGTCTGTAATTTTTCTTTTCTTTTTTAAATTTGCATGCATTCGTTTGCTTATTTATTTATTATTTTAGGCATAAGTGTACCACGTTGCCCATATGGAGGTCAGAGAACAACACAAGAGTCATTTCTCCTTCTACCACAAATCCTGATCTAAGGTCTCAGATTTGGCAGCAAGCACCTTTATCCACCGAGCTATTTTGTTCACTCTGCCTTTCCCTTCTCTCCCTCTCTCTTTGCCTCTCCCTCTCTCATCCCTGGCTGGCCTGCAGTTAACTATGTGGACCAAGCTGGTCCCAAACTCACAGAGCAACTCCTGCCTCTGCCTCCCAAGCACTGGAATCAAAGGATCAAAGGCATTGCACCACCATGCCTAGCCTCTTCGGGGTTTGGGGGTTTTTGTTTTTTTGTTTGCTTTTGTTTTGTTTTGTTTTTTGAAACAGTATGTTAAGGCTGGCCTTGAACCAGGCAAGAATAAGTTGATCTCCTATATCCCCTGCCTCTACTTCCACCGAGGCAGGATGACAGCTTATATCCTCACTCTGGACTTGGTTGATTCTACTGTAGGATGCGCCTCACCCAGCCATCTCCCACCAAGCACCCAGCGCTTATTCTTTCATTAGAACAAATCTGGATTATCTGAAGTGACTGCAGTTCCGACGTTGGCCACGTGGGGCAGCAGTGGACAGACCAAAGCGTCAGTTACAGGAACTCCGCGACTGGTCCCCTGCTCAGCATCCCCACTTTCCCTTTGCTAAGGAAGGAGCAAATGAGGTAAGGAAAGCGGGGGAGGAAGAGGTCAGCTCGATGGTAGAGTGGTTGCTTAGTAGGTTCAAGGCCCCGAGTTCCATCTCCAGTACTGAAAAAATTAAAACAAACAATAACAATTAAAAGCCCGCCAATAGCCCAGCAATTGGGGCAGAGGCTGGGGCTGCGGCAAAGGCAGGGGAATTCTGAGTTCCAGGACAGCTTGGCCTATAAGCCAGAGTTTGTCTCCATAAATAAGTTAATAACTGAATAAATAAAATACACCTTTGGAGACAGTTTCTTCAAGCCTTTATTAGAATGAATACTAACCTGTTGCTTTTTTATTTATTTTATGTATATGTGAGTGCTCTATCTGCATGTACACCTTTACACCAGAAGAGGGCATCAGATTCCACTATAGATGGTTGGGAGCCACCATCAAGACCTCTGGAAGAGCCGCCAGTGCTCTTAACCTCGGAGCCATCTCTCCAGCCCCTACCCTGTTGCTTCTATGCCAAGCTGGGCGGGCCCCTGTTTTCCAAAAGGCCATTGGATCAACATCTGAGCCTATTCACTTTTGTGAACTGAGGGGAGGGGCGGGGAAGCAGGAGGTGACAGACACCAGTAATCCCAGCGCTTGGGAGATATAAGCAGGAAGATCAGGAGTTCAAGGCCAATCTACACAGTAAATTTGTGGTCAGCCTGGGGTACCTGAGGCCCTGACTGAAAAATAAATAAATAAATGCATACATACATAAGTAAATAAAAAATAAGTGAAGCAAATAACATTTCTTGGCATACAGTCAAGCTATCAGGAAGCAATAGACTCCAATCAAAGTGTGATGGGTATCCTTGACACTCAACTTGATGGGGCCAGAATCAAGATATTACCCCTCTAGACGCACCTGTGTTTTCAGGAAGGTTACCAGAGTGGAAGCCCTTCTCTCACCTGTCATGAGTGGTGCCTTCCTGCAGGTGGCCCAGATCTGGAAAACAATGGCTTGCTGGCTGGCTAGCTGGCTGTCTGGCTGTCTGGCTGCCTGCCTGCCTTCGGGCCTCTCCTCCCCTCCTTGCTTTTGGGTGCCTCTATTACTGCTGCTGTCATGGCCACTTCTGTGTTCCTTCACTGACATTGGAACTTGGCTTCTTCCACACAGGCCAGCAGCTTCCCAGGGATCTTCCAGGCATTTGGCACAAGACTGAACGGCTGAGGCATCCATCCCCATGCACTGAGCAGCTTCCGATTCTCAGCCTCCCCTGTGTGAGACTGTGGTGGTGCCAAGCCCCCACCACGTAAGCCACTCTAGTCTGGTTTTGTTGTTGTTTTTTAATTTGTTTTATGTGTATGAGTGTTTGGCTGCATGTATGTATGTATGTAGGGAGCCGCTCCTGCATATACCATGTGCATGCCTGATGCCTATGAAGGTCAGAAGAGGACATCAGATCCCCTGGGACTGGAGGTACAGATAATTGTGAGCTACCATGTAGGTGCTGGAAATTGAACACAGGTCTCCAGAAGAACAGCCAGTGCTTGGTCATCTCTCCAGCCATGAAATCCCCTTAAACACACACACACACACACACACACACACACACACACACACACTCTGTTCCTCTAGAGAACCCTGTCTAACTTGTGAGGACAGAATCAAGGGAGCCATGTAAGCTGCATACTCAGGCTTGATGGAGGATGGAGAAATGGAGTGTTCAAAAGGTTTCTCTTCGTTCTGTCATGTTCCAAAGACAAGTGAGCTCCTGATAGATGTTAATGGCACAGCCAGAAATAGGACAGAGAAAGTGTGCAGTGTGTCGGCACATCCCTGCAGTCCCAGCACTCAGGAGGTGTCTCTAGGGCAGGAGGTCAAGGTTATCCTGTTGCACAAAGTTTCGGGTCAGCCTAGGTAAGCAGGAGGCAGAAAAGGTTCTTGTATGACAGAGCCCACATGGGTGGGAGATGGGAAAGAGAAAATAAATACATGTGACACTGGTCAGGCAGCCATAGCGTGCTGTAGACATGTCTAGCCGGGTGTGGCTCAGGAATAGATCATAAGACCCTGGGTTCCACAGCCCGCACTGGAAAAAAAAATCCAGAGAGTGTGAATACAGGAACCCAGAAGCCACACTGTAAGAAGGAAGAGCCTTCAAGCATGGAGCATGGAGAACAAAGGCCCTGAGGCCACAGGCTCCCTAGGAAAGGTGAGGGGTCAGAGAAGCCAGGAAACTGGAGGACAGTGGGGAAACAAAGGGCAGGAGAGGGGAGAAAGCAGGTACAGGACCAGCTAGAGAGGAACGCCAGCATGGGGCTGACCTCTCAGGCTGAGGTTGCAGGGGGAAATTAGAGAGCCCCCACCTGTGAGGTGGAGGTAGGGAGAGAGGATCAGGAGCTCAGGCCATCCTCAGCTATGTAGTAAATTTAAATCCAACTCAGGTCATTAAAGTTAAAAACAAAAGGCAATTATGAAATGGTACCCCATTTTTCTCTGAAGGCAAATTAAAACATAGAAAACCATGAATAGACACTGAGCCTAGGGGCATGATGGTACTGTAAGAACCCCCAGAAGCTCAGGCCTCCAGAATCTTTTCCCAGGACCATGACCACCCCAATCACCATGAGGAAGAGGAAACTTGATGCAAACAGCAAGAGGCTTTAATGAAAGGTGTACGTTTGTACAAACGGGCTCTCTCAGCATGCAGGCTAGAGAGCAGCATCCCCGGGGAAAAGGCGTTTTTAAAGGCAAAAACCACAAGCTTAGGGAGGGGCGTGACCAGAGTCATGGGTTCCTCAGGAGGCTTTTTGTCTTGAGGAGAGGGCTGGGAATCAGATGGCCTCCTGACCCACCAGTTATAAAACATGCAGACCTCAGGATATGCTTATCTTGCTTAAGCAAATGGTAGCTATCTCTTTGTTTCATAGGGACCCTTAATTATTAATTATTGACACATTGGCCAGTGGGGCAATCTGTTTCCTCCATGAGCCCCGTCGGGGAGGGTGGCCATCTGGGAATTCTTGGTACCCAGGTATCTTATGGCCTTGTAAGCTGGTAAATTCCAGGCCCTAAGTCATAGTAGTGGCCTTAGTTTCTGGGTTAGGCTGCCCTACATTCAGTTTGGAGAGTTTCCTTATCTGGGCTATATTTCTTTGCTAATTTTTAAGTCTTTCAGTACAACAGTGGGAGGTTGAGGTAGGAGGATAGCCAGGTGTTTCAGGACAGCCTAGATTAGCAATGTAACAAATCGTAACCTCAAAAAATACAAGTAAAAAGTGTATAAAACCAAATAATCAGAGCATAGCATATTGGTTTACAACTTTGATTCCAGCATTGTGGAGGCAGGCAGATCTCTGTAAATTTGAAGCCAGCCTGGTCTACCTAGCAAGTCCAGGACAGCAAGGCTATAATGTGACCCTGTCTTAAAAAAAAAAATTAAAAAAGGCGTGGTGACACCTACCTGTAACCCAGTGCTCTGGAGGAGCACTCTGGAGGACCAGGAGTTCAAGGTCATCCTCAGCTACACAGGGAGTTTGAGGCCAGCCTAGTCTCCATGGGACCTGCCTCAAAATACCTTAGCTTTTATGTCACTCACTATTCACAAAACTCCAGAATATCTGCAGATTTTTACCAGCTTTCCACACCTCTCCTTTTGGTGGCCTGGAGTAGTCACTGCACTATCTTCACAGCTCCTTGGTCTCCTCAAACGCTGAGGTTTTTGTTTTTGTTTTTTGATGCGGGCTCTGGATCTGTGGCTGAGGCTTGCCCTGGAGCTCATGTCCTCCGGCTTCTGCCTTCCCAGTGCTGAGATCACAGGTGTGGCCACCTCACCCAGCTTGATCAACGCCCATTTGCTTAATTTAACATCAATGTTTTGTGTACAGAGTGTGTGTACATGTGTATGTATACACAACTAAGAGGCCAGTTCTATACTCCCTCCATTTCATCCCAGGGATCGAATTCAGGTCCTCGGGGCTGGCAACAAGCACTTTCACACACTGAACCCTCTAGCAGGACCTGGCTGGGATTTTTCTCATCTGTAGAAGCCTGGGATTCCTGGGGGGGGTGGGCGCTCGGGGTTCTCAGAAATAAGCTCAAAGCCACATGACATCACTGGGACATCAGAATGACCATTCTGTCACTGGGCCCCTTAACAAGTTACCTGCCAGATGACTCCCCACTTGAAGCTGGGGAGGGGTTCCACACTGTGGGAGGGGCTTGCTTATGCTCGTGTTGGTTTTTTTGTTTTGGTTTTTTTAGTTTTTTTAAATAGCATATATTAAATATTATTAGCATACATATTAATTATACACAATAGTGGTTCCGTTATGACGTTTCCTAATTGGGTATAATGTATTCTGATCACAGTCATCCCCATCATCAACTTTCATGTGTGTGTGTTTACCTTCTCCTACTTCAAAATGTTTTCAGTTTTGTGCGTGATAGATGTATGGGCCCACACGAATGCTATGGAAAGACTGTGGAGGTCAGTTAGGCATAGAGGTGCTCACCTTTAATCCCAGCACTCTGGAAGCAGAAGAAGGCAGATCTCAGTGAGTTCAAGGCCAGCCTGGTCTCCATATCCAGTTCCAGGACACCTAGAGCTACATAGTGAGACCCTGTCTCAAACAAACAAAACACAAAACAAACCTGTGGAGTTCAGAGGACAACCGTGTGCAGTTGATTCTCTCCTTCCAGGGTGATTCGGGTTCCAGGGACCAAATTCAGGTTGCCAGGCTTCACTGCAGGGCCTTTCCTAGCCTCCCTGTTTCTGTGTGACTGTGTTGTTGTTTGGGTTGGTTTTTGTTTTCTTTATAGAGACAGGGTTGCCTTGGCTATCCTGGAGCTTACTATATAGATTAGGCCAACCTTGAACTCCCAGAGATCCACCTGCTTCTGCCACTCAAGTGTTGGGATTAAGGAAGTGAGCCACCACGCAGGCCCACCCCTATTCTTTGGAATTTTAAGGACAATTTGACTCTCCCCTGGAACGTATTTATTTATGAATGAGACTGAGTCTCGTGTCTTGAACTTGCTCTGGAGCTGATTTAATCTTGACCTGATCCTAGGTCCTCCACGGCCTAGGATTATAGGTGTGCCCTGTTTTATTCCGGCCTGGGTTTGGCACCCAGGGCTTTGTTCGCGTTGCCAAGCACTCTACCAACTGAGCCACATCGCCGGCCTCCCCACAAACAGGCAAACTGTCTTATTTGAAGGAACGGGGTGAGACCTGCGGTGTGCAGAAGAGTGTGGCTCTGTCCGCCACTCTGGGTCCCTCTCCGCCTAAATTCTTCCTCTGCGGATTGTGAAGGCCCATTTTACAGGTGGCTGTTACCTGGCACTTGTAGGAGTCAAACCCGCCCACCATCCCGATGCTGGGGGGTGGGGGTACCAGAGCGGCTCTGCTGCCACCCTGGGCTCTTCTCGCCCATTTCAAAGACCTGGAGACCAATTAGAGACATCACACCTGACTAGGCAGCCCAGCTCCATCCAGGGCTGAAACTCCCCAGCACGGCCACCAGGTGCTGGGGGCACCAGGGGTCCTGGGGCTGCCGCTCCTCCTGGGACTCTGAGCCCTGGAGGCAAAGGCGCCAGGTAGTGGCTGAGAAAGGGCTGGGGCGGGGAAATCGAGGCACCCGCCCTCCGCAAGCCTGGACTCACAGGGTTGGCGGGGAGCTGTGGGCAAAGGCTGGCCGGCGCCGCCTCTTCACCCGCCCGCGGATCCGCAGCTCGCCGGGTCCGCACTGCTAGGCCTGGACCCTGGACCCACCCGCGAGGTGAGACCGGCCAAGTCAAGCCCTTAGCTCTGCCCCACGGGGGAGGGGTCTCTGCTTTTCAGGTCACCCACTTCCTTCCTGTTCGTCTCAGCTGAGAGGTGCGAGTTGGGGGTCCACAGCAAGCCCAGCGCTGGGTGACCTAGGGTGAGCCGCTGACCCTCTCTGAGCCTTTATGCAAAGCACCGAACGAGGAATTCCGGGAGCCGCACCAGCGGAGGCGCGAGGCATTGGTGGTGAGTGTTGAGGGAACTAAGTCTGAGGAGTGTGGGCGGCGTGTGTGAAGTTGAAGAGACTGGTGAGGAGGTGAGAAGCTGGCCACACCTACCACGGTGCTGGGCTTCTCGGCCAAGCCAAACGGTGTGTGTGCAGATAGCTGCCGAGGGTCCTGGGGTCAAAAGGCTGCAGCCACGTGGTGTGTCCCTTCTGGGAGTTCCTCAGGCTGGAATGGGGGTTGGGAGGATCGTGGACAGAACTTCCTGGAAAAGGCAATCAGTGTTGTTGTTGTTGTTTATGGGGTCGAGGTGGACGCGGAGACAGCCCCACACTTAGATGACTGCAAACAACAGAACTCGCATTAGAGATACAGACTCCCGCACAAAACACAGACATGCACAGGGGTCTGTCACATGGGTGCCACAGAAGAATTCAGCCCTGAAATTCCAGCACTTGGAAGGCAGAGGCAGTGGCTCGGGAGTTCAAGGTCATCCTTGGCTACATAGGGAGTTTGAGGTCGGCCTGGGGTACTTGAGACTCTGACTCCAAACAAACAAAAAGAAAACGAATTGGAGTATGTGTCACAGACAAGCCACTCAGGTTGCTCGGACGAGGCACCCACTCAGTCTGGCTCAGATGCACACAGAAAAAAGTGAGCTAGTGACAGGCAGCCAAGCATATAAGAACACAGAAGTGAAACATGTTCAGGCAGGCACAGGGCAGCCTCATGAGAGTGTGCAGACACTTAGACACTGGGACCTATGGATACCCTCCCAGCACACATACAGTCAGACCCTGGCGTGCAACCCCGAAGCTGTGCTAGCTTTGAGAGACTTCTCACAGCCCAGCCTGTCCTGGATGCCCACCCCCTACCCCCATGTTCATTTCTGGGGAAGTCCAGTGCTCACATGACCCAAGGGGAGGGCTACTGGACAGTCCCTGGAGAAAATGCATCATCTCTCCCACAGGTGCACTTCCCCCCAGGGAATAAAGACTCGGTGATCGCCAGTTCTGCTCCAGGATTGCCTCTTGCAGCCTCACTGAGCAGTCTGTGCTTCCTCCAGGGTGAGTGCCAAGTACCAGAGGAAGGTGGTGGAAGAGGTCTGTGGGGCCACTCTTCCCTAGCTCCTTGACTCCTTGACCAGGGACAATTGCTGCTGCTATGTCTTTGGAACTGACAGCTGTGGATGGCTAGCTCTGCTGTGTGTGTGGGGTGTGTGTGTGTGTGTGTGGGTGTGTGTGGGTGTGTGTGTGGTGTGTGTGTGTGTGTGTGTGTGTGTGGGTGTGTGTGGTTGTGAGGATTGAGACAGGTCTCAGATACAGCTGGCCTCAGACTTTTCTGTTTCCACTTCCCAAACTTCCTGTGTACCTGAGACTGACCTTGAACTTCTGCTCCACCTCCCTGCTTCCTGAGTTTATGTGTATGCACCATCACACCTGGCTCAGCTGGCTTGCCTTGGCTTGGAACAGGGACAGGGACAGTGCAGTTTTCAGGGGCTTGTGCTCCATCCTTAGCCAGGACTCCAGACTCTCTCTTCACTCACAGATGGATGCACGGACGGTACTGCTGGGCCTGCAAATCATGTCACTCCCGCTCCTGGCTCATTGTGCAGCCGCTACTCCCACCCTGAGATTTGTGGCTGTGGGTGACTGGGGAGGGGTCCCCAATGCCCCATTCCACACAGCCCGGGAAGTGGCCAATGCTAAAGAAATCGCCAGAACCGTGCAGATTATGGGTGCTGACTTCATCATGTCCCTGGGAGACAACTTCTACTTCACTGGAGTGCATGATGCCAAAGACAAGAGGTTCCAGGTATATGCTCTACAGCAGGGTTAGAGGTGACAGTGGGGAGGCCACTCCAACCTGGGACCTTACTCTGGGGAGGACAGAGGGAAGCAGGACTCCTACAGGTAAGTACCTGGGACATCCAGTGGCTCCTTTGTCCTTGGTCTTTGATTTGGTGGGAATAGCAGAGTGGCTCTTGACCCCAGAGGTGGGGTACCCATTTTGTCTGTCACAGGAGACCTTTGAGGATGTGTTCTCTGACCGTGCCCTCCGCAATATCCCCTGGTACGTGCTGGCTGGGAACCATGACCACCTTGGCAATGTCTCAGCACAAATTGCCTACTCCAAGATCTCCAAGCGCTGGTGAGCCTTCCCCCTTCCCCAAAGAGACTCTCTCTCAGGGCAAAAAAAAGACACTTTAGCTTTTGGGAGAATGTCTGGTTTTGTTTTTTATTGTGTTGTCTTTACTGAGGGGTCACAGCGTATGTGTGCAGGCCAGAGGACAACTTGTGGGAATCAGTTCTCTTCCCCCACTGTGTGGCTTCCAGGGCTGGAATTCAGGTCATCATGTGGCAGGTGGTTTCCTCACTGAACCATGGCACTGCCCTCAGAACCTCTGTGTTTTGTAGGCCCTGCTGGCCTTGGATCTCCTATGTAGCCAAGGATGATCCTGAACTTCCAATCCTGCTGTCTCCATCTCCCAGGGAAAAGATTTCAAATGCACATCACCACACTCAGCTGTTCGTTTTTTTTGAGACGGGGTCTTGCTATCTAGTCTAGGCTTGTCTCAAAAATTAAGATTCTCTTGCCTCAGCCTCCAAAATATTAAGATGACAGATGTGCCACTGTGACTAACCAAATGAGCCTTTGGGGGCTGAAGAGAATGCTCAGTCAAGGAAGCGCTTGCTAAGCAAATACAAGGACCTAAGTTCAATCCACAGAATCTGTGTTAAAAACTGAGTGTGGAGGCGTGAGCCTGTAGCCCTAGTCTGCATGGGGAAGGGTGTATGAACACAAAGGAATTCTGGGGCTGGATGACTCGACAGCCAGGCTGAATCTGTGAGCCCACAGCTTAATGAGATGCCCTGTCTCAAAAAAGCACTTGCCTTGTAAACCCAAGGACCTGAGTTCAATCCTGGGAGTCCATCGTGAAAAAAAGAAACGGTTACCACAGTTGTCCCCCACCACACACACACACACACACACACACACACACACACACACCCTAACAATGAAAAATGGAAACAAACACAGTGAAGCTGGAGAGATGGATCCAATAGTTAAGAGAGCTTGCCGCTCCAACACAAGGACGGGGTTTCAGATCCCAGCACCCACATGAAAAGCCAAGCACAAGCCCTTTCATGCATGCAACTCCAGCTGTAAGTGGGGTGAGAGGAGAGACAGGAGGATCAATTGAGCTCGCTGGCTTCCAGGCTAGGCAGAAAAAAGTGAGCTCCAGGGTCAACAAGAGACCTTGCCTCAAAAGAACTCGGTGGAGGGTGATGGAGGAACTCAGCTCCCTCCTGTGGCCTCCATAAATGCAGGGGTGTCTGCACCCCCCACAAACTCACAGAAATATACCAAAAAACTCAAGATGCATGGCTCTTGAGGGACAACACCTAAAATTGGCCCCTGACGTCTATGCTTATGTGCAAACATGAATATATGTGAGCACACACACACACACACACACAATTTAAAAAGAGGTCCTTTGCCTCAGGGTTCATTTCCCAGCACCCATATGGCAGTTCACAGCCATCTGCAACTCCCGTCCCAAGGAATCTTTTTTCTGACCTCCACGGTCACCGCGTGCACACGCAGCACGTAGACACACATTCAAGCATATAAAATTCAGGCAAGCAATCAAGCATATAAAATATAAAAAAATAAAATCTAAAAAGAAATGTTTTTAAGATTTAAAAAAAAAATAAAAACAGGAAGTTCTTTGGCCAGAACTAATATTAGTGTGTCCCTGCCTAAAATGTTTACCCACAATTTCTGTTCCCTCCACAGGAACTTCCCAAGCCCTTACTATCGTTTGCACTTCAAAATTCCACGGACAAACACAACTGTGGCCATCTTCATGCTGGACACCGTGATGCTGTGTGGCAACTCTGATGACTTCGTCAGTCAGCAGCCCAAAATGCCCCGAGACATGGGAGTGGCCCGAAGTCAGCTGTCCTGGCTCAAAAAGCAGTTGGCAGCAGCCAAGGAAGACTACATTTTGGTGGCTGGCCACTACCCCATCTGGTCCATTGCTGAACACGGACCCACCCGCTGCCTGGTCAAGCACTTACAGCCACTGTTGGCCACATACGGGGTCACTGCCTACCTTTGTGGACATGACCACAACTTGCAGGTGAGGGCTCCATGAATAGGATGGGGAATCTGCCAAGGAGTTCTTAACTGTACTGCAAGGTGCCACATGGCCAGATTCCTGCTGTTCAGAGGGCCTCTGGTATCTTTCTGAACATCAGTACCCTTCCTCAAATTACGATGTCAAGGGGGCATGGCTCAAAAGCAGAGTGCTGGACTAGAGTCCCCCAGGGAGGAGTTTGGCTTATTGCTCAGTGGCAGAGCCCCTGCCTAGAATCCCCCAGTGAGGGGCTGAGATAGGGCTCAATGGTAGAACCCCTGCCTAGAATCCCCCAGCGAGGGGCTGGGGTGTGGCTCAGTGGTAGAACCCCTGCCTAGAATCCCCCAGTGAGGGGCTGGGGTATGACTCAGTGGTAGAGCCCCTGCCTAAAATAACCCAGTGAGGGCTGGATTGAGGCCCAGTGGTAAAGTGCTTGTCTACAAAGCAGGAAACCATGGGTTTCGTCCTCAACACTGAAAAACAAAACCTGCCAAAGTTGTACTTATGAAGTAGGATTGATATGCTGTGGTCAGGGATACACCTATTCCCACACTTACGGTAGGTCTAGGTGAAGCCCCTGGTCATCCCCTAGGCAGGGCTGGATTGACGAACCTTGCACCCTCTGCCCTCAGTATCTTCAGGATGAGAATGGAGTGGGCTACGTGCTGAGTGGGGCCGGCAACTTCATGGACCCCTCTGTGCGACACCAACGCAAGGTCCCCAATGGCTACCTGCGCTTTCACTATGGATCCGAGGACTCCCTGGGTGGCTTCACATATGTGGAGATAAGCTCCAAAGAAATGAGTATCACCTATGTGGAAGCTGCTGGAAAATCACTCTTCAAGACCAGCCTCCCTAGACGACTCAGACCCCTATGGCTCTGAGGCAGGAAGCCTCTGCATGCACGGTGGGTGGGCGCTGTGAGGACCTCAGCCATGGGCAGCTTCTTCTCTGGTTCCTATTGCTCTGACAGAGTGGGAAGGGAAACCACAGAGGCTTACATACATGAAAGGAGTATGTGCACACTGACTAACCCCACCCCACAGCCAGGCTCACCCCTGAGGTTCTAGAGTACAGCTTTCTTGGAGTGAGGCTTTCTTCTAAATCAAGCATTTTATTGTCACTGCTATTCAATAAAAGAATGGTTGTCAAGACTGCACTTGTCTCCAAAATGGGCGTGTCATCGGGGTTACAGTGCGTGTGTCCTCGTGTCGGTGAATGTAGCATCAGTGTGTATGTCGTGGCTAAAGGACAACTGTGGAAGTCTGTTCTCTCCTTCCCAGTGATCAAACACAAGCTCCAGGCTTGATGGAAAGTGCCTTCACCTGCTAAGCTATCTCTCTGGCCCTCCCTTCCATCTCTTAGTTCCATGCATAACCAACTAAATTTATACATGGACATTAACCCTCCTACCCCCAGCTCTGGGACTGAGAAATCTAGGTACTATGGTACTATGGAATCTAGGGCCTCCTGCATGCTATAGAAGGACCCTAACCACTGAGCTACATTCTTAGCCCTTGTTTCTTTGAAGCTGGGTCTCATGTAGCACAGGTTGGTCTTGAACTCCAGTTGCTCCTATCTCTGTCCCCACAGTGCTGTGATTATAGGCATCTTCCATCATTCCTGGTTGTGATGTGATTTTAAGTAAGCATCAAGATGTGAAGGTTGATCTTGTGGTCCCAGGTGGAGAGTCAAACAGGAGGACCACTTGTGTCTAGAACTTCTAGCATAACAAGGTCGTGCTGAAAATGAAGGGCTGGTTTGCTAGTTCTAGCAGTCAGGAGGCAGAGACAGGCTTATCTCTGCGAGTTCTGGGTCACCCTGTTCTACATAGCAAGTTCCAGGTCAGCCTGTGCTACTTGGTAAGACCCTGTCTCAAAAAAATAAATGAATAATACAGAGAAACCCTGTTTCAAAAAAGAGATAATGTATCAATCAATCAACCAATCAGTTATTCCATCAGAAAGAAGGACACAGCAAGTCCCCAAGTTCCTCCCTCCTTCAAACCAATACCCCTCACCACCTTGAGCCAACCACTATCCTCACTTTCCTGTTTGCTGTAAGTTCCCATAGCTCAAGCTGGGCTTAGGCCTGCTATGTAGCAGAAATGAGCCTGCCCTCTGGATCCTCCTTTGCTGGGGATCCAGCTCAGGGCTTCATGAACACTAGGCCAGCCCTTCCCCAACTGAGCTCTAGTCCAATTTTTAATTGTTCGTTTGTTTCCAGGTAGGGTTTGTCTGTATAGCACATGCTGTCCTAGCACTCACTCTGGAGACCAGGCTGGCCTCAGATTCAGAGATCCACCTGCCTCTGCCTCCCAAGTGCTGGGATTAAAGGTGTGGGCCACCACTGCCTGGCTTATTATTTTGTTTTTATTATTGTTAAATTTTATTTATTTTTATTTATGGGTATGTGTGTGTGTGCCTGCTTGTCTGTATGTGTGTCACGTACTTGGAGGTGTCTACAAAGGCCAGAAGAGGGTGTTGGGTCCCCTGGGATTGCGATTAAGAGCAGTTAGTAATGAAACCCAGGTCCTTTGCAACAGCAGCAAGCGCTCTTAAACACTGAGCCCGCACTCCAGTCCTGACCTCTTTTCTGAGAGAGGATCCAACTAAAGTCCAGGCTGACCTTGAGCCCAATAAGTAGCCGGGGATGGGCTCGAACTCCTGAATGTCCTACCTGCCCCTCACAACAGGATGTCCCACCACCTAAGGCTGCACATTTTAGGGGCTTTGGAGACCTGAAGGATCTGAGTATGGTATGCTGTGATTTACCACAGAGCCCCAGGCTCCGGCTCCCCTTAGCGTTGAGGATACCATCCAGGCTTCGGAACACACTAAGACCAAACTGCTCTGTTTTTCCTCTTCCCTTTGCTTCCTGTCCTCAACCTCCCCTTCTTGACAGCTAAGGAACACCAGGTGAACACAGCTCTACTCCAAGTCCTTTTACTTAACCACAGCTTTTCATTGGTTTATCTTCCAGCATTTACTTTTGACCATTTCAATATGGAGCTGGGAATACTTACACATTCAAAAATCTAAAGTTTATAGAAAAGTGCAGCAGGGTTTGGTGGTGCACACTTATAATCCCAGCATACAGGAGGCTCAAGGATCAGAAGTTCAAGGCCATCCTCTGATCCTTAATACATTTCAGGTCAGCCCAGGCTACAGGAGACCCTGTCTTAGACCAGATATATGAGCCAGAAGTGGTGGCACACACCTTTAATCCCAGCCCTTGGGAGGTACAGGCAGGTGGATCTGTGAGTTTAAGGCCAACTTAGGACAACATAGAAAGCCCCTACCCTCAAATGCAGCAAAAAATTGGAAAAATATATGGCTGGGGATATGGAGCATTTCTTCAGTATGCACAAAGCCCTAGGTCCCATCCGCAGAACTACATAAAACCAGATGGGTGTGTGGTTGTGTGGGTTTTTGTTTTGTTTTTTTTTTCTGTCATCCGAGAAAAAAAAAAAAAAAAAAAAAGGTTCAGCTAGGTGAAGTGCCTGCTGCTGAGCTGGGGTGTGGCTCAGTACTTAAGAGCACTGGCTGCTTTCAGAGGACCCAGGTTCAATTCCTGGCACCACATGGCAGCTAACAACTGCTTATAACAGAATCAACACTCTTCTGGCCTCCACAGGCACCAGGCATGCATGTGATACACACAAATACATATAAATAAAACATCCCTATGCATAAAATAAACAAGAATTTGTAAAACTGCTTGTCACACAGCCTAGTAACCTGAGTTCAATCCCCAAGGCCCACAAGGTAGAAGGAAAGAACTGACTCCTGCAAATTATCCTTGGACCTCCACACTCACAAAAAAAATGTATAAGAAATAAATTTTAAAGCAAAGTAAATGTTAAAGTAGAAACTTAATAGAATATTAAAAAGTGTACTATGTTCCCTTCTTCTCCAAGTCCACCCTTTCCTTCCCTCAAGCCTGACAGGAAACTGTTTCCCTTCCTGTTCATTTCATTCTCCTCCCCTCTCGATTAGATGTGTGTCACTGTACCCAGTTTCTTTCATATATTTTCTCATGAAAACAAAAGCAAAGCAGAATATGTTCTTTTTTTCTTACCCACTAAACCACACCTTGTTTTTTTTAACCTTCCTTTTCTTTAAAACTAATCTTTGAAGTGTAAGTTAAGTCACACACTTAATCCAAACTCATTAGACGTACAGTTTTACAAGGTAGGTGTCTGTGTGTGTGTGTGTGTGTGTGTGTTGGGAATCAAGCCAAGGCTTTGAGAACACTAAATACCCACCCTGTCCTGAGCTACACCCCTAGCCAGCTGGTCTAAGTTTTTTTTTAAATACCTTTATTTGCATTATGTTTCTTGGTGCATTTGTAGCCTGTCACCCTTCAAGTTTTTGCTGTCTCCCAAGAGTTCAGATCATAGGCCTGTGCCAACCACACCTATTTTATGAGATACTGGGGATCAGATGGAACCCAGGACTTTATGAAAGTACTTTACCAACGGATCTACACCAACCCCTCTGATAAGTTTTGGCAAAGTCATACACCAACCCCTCTGATAAGTTTTGGCAAAGTCATAAACCCACCACATGTAACATTGCAGGGAGGTATGGATCAGCAGTAGAAGCTCTGCCTAGAGTACCCCAGGGAGGGGCTGGTGTGGGTGTGGCTCAATGGTAGGGCCCCTGCCTAGCATCTGTGGGTTCCTGATTTCAATCCCCAATACCAAACACACACAAAAGAGCCCAACATTTTCATCATTCAAAAAGGTTCCTTTGACAAGTTAATGTTTGCACTTTTTATATCTGGAGATCTGCTCAGCAGCTGGTGGGAGAGCTCTAGAGGTCTTTCTTTGAGTATGGAGACCAGCACCCAATCCTGAACTTCTAACCCCACACCTATCAAAGATCTCCTGGTGGCTTGCAACTCATTTGCAATCTGCAGACAGTTCTGCAGTGGCTGCCCTTGTGTGTTCACATCCTCTGTGTTCAGACTTGTTTCTGGATAAACTGGATTTGCTCCCGGGAGCACCACTGTCATTTTAACTTCATTTGATGGCACTGGGAATGGATTCCAAAGCCTCACCTATGCAGGCAAGAGCTCTGCCCGTCAACTACTCTCCCGGTGGCACCTAGAATCAATACAGAGCCTGGCCTGGTGGTACACACCTTTATTGCTAGCACTCAAGAGACAGAGGTGTGGAGTGAGTTTTCAGAGCTATAATGAGACCATGTCTCAAGAGGAAAGAAAGAAAGAAAGAAAGAAAGAAAGAAAGAAAGAAAGAAAAGAAGAAAGAAAAGAGGTATAGACTACGATAGAGGAAAGAGAATAAACACAAAAGCTGGTCTGCCAGCTGCAGGAAGCCCAGCTCACTTCTCTGGGGAATTGAGTAACACTTGCCCACAGACATTTGCCTAAGCCATTAGCATGAGGCAAGTCACACAAACCACTCTCTAGATAGTTTCAACTGTCACACCAGGAGTGGCAGAGCAGGGATGCTGGGCTACCTGCTGTCTGGATGAACCATTGATGTTTCTGCTACAGACAGAAGCATAGTAGAAGAGCCATGTGCTACCTTATATTGATACTGTTGAACTTGAAACTAAGGCAGAAGTTACTGTTACAGTTAAGAAAGGGACCTTGGGGCTGGGGAGATGCCTCAGGGTGGTAAGTGTGTTTGCAGTCAATCATCAGGACCCAAGTTCCATCCCTGGAACACACATGGTAGAGAGGGGGAAGTAACTCTCACACATTGTATTCTGGCTTCATTTGCACACAACTCCTGTCCCTGAAGAAAATATTTGGGGGTTTGTTTGTTTGTTTGTTTGTTTAAAAACAGTAGTTTTTTTAATCCCAGCACTCAAGAAGTAGAGACAGGCAGATCTCTGTGAGTTTGAGGCTAGCCTGGTCTACAGAGCTAGTTCCGGGACAGACTCCAAAACAATACAGAGAAACCCTGTCTCGAAAAACCAAAATAAATAAATAAATAAAATAAAATAAAAACAGTTTTTAGCCCTGCGGTTGTAGCTCACGCCTTTAATCCCAGCACTTGGGAGGCAGTAGCAGGTGGATCTCTTTGAGGTCAAGGTCAGCCTGGTCTACAAATCAAGTGCCAGTATTGTTACGCAAAAAAACCAAACAAAAAATACAAAACAAAAACAAACAAAAAGGGTTTTTTGCAGTTGTTCATCTCTTTAGCTCAGCCTGACTGGACTTTCTCTGTTTCCCTGAAGACATTGACCCTATACAGCTGCTTGCAGAACTTCTTTGCTGAAGCTGCCTGCCTTCTTGAACTCTAAGACAAACAGTGTGGCTCTTTCTTACTTCCACCCATCTCCCTCAGACTGACAAAATGTTCCCTGAGCTGAGATAGACAGACAGACAGACAGACGGCAGCTTTTAATGTGGAGGCTCATGCCTGTAATTCCAACACTTGGGAACCTAAGGTAGGAAGATAGCATTGTGAGTTTGAGGCCAGCCTGGGCTACAAAGAGAATTCCAGGTTAGCCTGGGCTAGAGTGAGACCCTTGCATCAATGTCACATTAAGGAATTTAGAAAGTAATCTTGATTAGTTTGACCAAAAGTAAGCCCAAATCTGTATTCTCTCTCTGTTTATCTCTGTGTCTTCCATCTGACTGTCTGTAGTCTGTCTGTTGTGTGTTTCTGATCTGACCCTGTTGTCTGTGCCTGTCTGTCTAGTGTGCCTGTCCCAAACAAGGGCCTTTGCTCTGCATTTATTGAACAGCACAGAAAACACCGCATGGGAAAGAAAGAAGGGATTCTTCACAGAGACAGCTTCCAGAGTTTGCAAAGGAAAGAGTTACTTAACGCCAAATGACCCAGAATAGCACTCAAAACCCAGCTGATGTATCAGTCATGTCCTCATGCTGCTTCCAGCACTTATGGGATATTTGCATTGTTTAAGGTTTCTGTCAACTCATTGGCTGCTTTTAGAAAATGATTACCATACCACATACACATACACACCACACACCACACACACACACACACACACACACACACACACACACCCAAACACACACCCACACACCCCATATGCCAAACATACACACATACACCATTCATGTTCACACATACTACACACTGCCCACACCCCCTCACACACACACTCCCCCTACACACACACACACACACACACACACACACACCACTATTCTCGCCAGACTCGTGGAAGAGAATATGCTTTAACATTAAAAGCTACGTACTCAGCCGTTGGGAGGCAGGGGCAGGCGGATCTCTGTGGGTTCCAGGACAGCCTCCAAAGACAAAGAGTAACACTGTCTCCGTGGCATTTTGACTACATTTCTTGAATGATCTCAAGGCATATAATTAACTTAGCTGCAAGGTCTGCAAAAATTTCAATCCCTGCCAAAGCCAAAGCATCCCCACCATGTTCCAGGTGTGTTGGGAGTCCAAGCTACCACATGTGATGGCCAGAGGTTGGTGTTGGTTGTCTTCCTCAACTTCTCTACTTCAAACAAACTTTAATATGTTTTTTTTTGTGTGTGTGTGTGTACTTGCATGAGTTTATATGCCCACATGCATGCAGGCGCCCAAGGAGAACAGAGCCCTTGAGCTGGTTTCATGCAGTGGTGCTGGGAACTGAACCTAGGCCTTCTGCAAAAGCAGCCTGCACTCACCACTGAGCCACCTCTCCAGTCTTCAGCTTATTTTCTGAGGCCAGGACTTTCATTGGGGACAGTCTGGCTGGCTGGCGGCTCCACAACCTTCCTATCTTTGCCTCCCTCTGCAGTGATGAGGTGGGCACTGCCATGCCTGGGAGAGCAAACCTATGCCTTTATGTTTTCAGAACAAGCACTTTTCTGACTGAACCTTGTCCCCAGTCCCTGACCTTGGTTTTTTTTTTTTTTTTTAATATTTTTTATTTAATTTGCATTGGTATTTTGTCTGTATGAAGGTGTCAGATCCTGGAGTTACAGACAGTTGTTGGCTGCCATGTGGGTGCTAGGAATTGAACCAGAGACCTTTGGAAGAACACTCAGTGCTCTTAACTGCTGAGCCATCTCTCCAGCCCCCTCCCCGCCACCTTGGTTTTGTGTTACGGTTTTTGTGTTTGGATTTTTTTTTTTTTTTGAGACAGCCTCTCTTCAAACTCATGGCTGCCCTGGAACTCACTCTGTAGACCAGGCTGGCCTCAAACTCAGAGATCTGCCCGCCTCTGCCTCCTGAGTGTGGGGATTAAAGGCATGGCACCCCATGCCTGGCCTCCCTGACTTTGTTTTGGGGGGTTGGGCAGTGAGTGCTGCCCAGCCTGACCACCCAAATTCAATCTCTGCAATCCTCGTGTGAAGGAAAGAACACATTCTGGCCCTCTGTTTAAATAAAAACAGTCCACAGCCAGGGAGGCCACACACACACACACACACACACACACACACACACACACACAGTAAAACAAAAAAGTCAACTAAGCGAAGTGACTCATGTCTACAACCAGACTAGACTAGATGAGACCCTGTCTTTAAAAGAAGAAATCACTTCTGTCCCTAACCCGTGAGACAAAGGCTAGACTCATCCTGTTCCACAGAGGACATTCCAGAGACCTAGGTGGGACTCTGCACCATGTCTGTCCTGGCTTGCTCTCTACTGGGGTGAAAAACCACTCTGACAGAAAGCAGTATGGGGAGGACAGGTTTATTTGCCTTATACAACCGGATCACAGAAGGAAGTCGGGACAGGAACTCAAGCAGGAGCCGTGGAGCTGTGCTGCATACTGGCCTTCTCCCTATGGCTTTCTCATACACCCAGGGCCATCTGCCCAGAGGTGGCACCACCCACAGTGGGCTGGGCTCCCCACATCAGTAGTTAATCAAGAAATGCCCACCAGGGTTGTCTACGGGTCAGTCTGATGGAGGAATTTTCTCAACTGAGGCACCCTCTCCCCAGATGGTCCTACTTTGTGTCAAGTTGACAAAAGAACAAACCAACACAGTCAGGTTGCCAACTAGGTGATTACAGCTCAGGTCTCAGTGTTAAACTCAACCATATTGAAGTTCAACGCCACCAGTTTCTTCCCACTGACTCAGAGACTCCTAGCAGTCAGAACTCTGAATCAGCAGTTACCTTCACCCATTGTCTCTGTTCCCAGGGTCCAGAAAAGAGAAGTAACACATTAAATGTCACATGGAGAATGAGTGACAAAACCAAAGGACTGCAAACCAAGTTCCCTCCTCCACTGAGCACCAAATGCCATAAATATTTCTCAGACATGGAGAGGCACACGGGAAGCTGGCCTTGCCTCTGCAAATGGGGCTTCTGTCCAACAGCAGCTACACTTGTTGACTGAGAAACACTGTTGCTTGTTCCCTGCCCTGGGAATGAAACCCAGGGCCTTGTGCAAGCCAGGCAAGCGCTGTAACAAACAATACACACTCCCTCATTTGTTTTCTTAGATAGGGGCTCACTATATAGACCAGCAGGCCTCAAACTCACAGAGCTCCACCTGCCTCTGCTTCCTGGGTGCCACCACACTCCATATTTTTGTTTGTTTGTTTTTTTGTTTTTGCATTTTTTTATTAAATTATTAATATTTTCACATGTACTTTCCCTCTCCCTCTCCCTCCCCCACCCCCATTCCTTCTCCCCCACCTCACACTCCATATTTATTATTGCTGTTTTGTGTGTGTGGTTTTTTTTTTTTTGTGTGTGTGTGTGTGTGTGTGTGTTGTATGTGTGCCATACAACATATACCATAGCACACACATGGAAGTCAGAGAATAACTCACAGGAATTGGTTCCCTTCCTCCACCACAGGCTCTGGGGATTGAACTCAATAGTGTTTATCTGTGAGTCATCTCAACACTCCATGGTTGATTTTTTGAGGCAAGGTCTCACTGTATAGCTCAGGCTTGTCTGGAGCCCACTGTGTAGTTAGGCTGGCCTCTGGTTTTTAAAGATCCTCCTGTGTGGTAATATACTGTTTATGATCAATAAATCTTGCCTGGAGATTGGAGTGCAAAGCTAGCCATAGCCATTGAGTGGTAGCCACACCTTTAATCCCAGGACACAGGAGACAGATGCAGATGGAACGCTTTGAGTTCAAGGTCACCCAGGGCCACATGAGAGTGAATCAGTTTAAAGAGAGATAGAGCTCGGGCCTTTAATCCCAACACTGGAGACTAGAGAAGGAGCTCAGTGCAGTCTCAGAAGCAGTTGGGGTTTTGGTGGAGAGCATTGCAGTCTAGGCAGTCTCAGTGAGTCTGAGGAGCAGTGGTCTGGATCACCGCTTCGATCTGAGCACGGGTAGAGGTGAAAACTCTTTAGTGGCTGGTTGCTTTGCTTTTCTGATCTTCAGCATTATCCCAGTATCTGTCTCTGGGTTATATTATTGGTGCTACACTCCTGCTTCCACTGCCTGAGTGATGAGATTAAGGGAGTGAAATCACCACGCCTAGCTTTGACTTTATTTGGTGGCAGTGTCTTGAGTTGCCCAGGTTGGCCTTTAACTATAGAGCCTCCTGCTTCAGCGTCTGCCGAAGCTAGGATGGCAGGCTACAGCACCAAGTTAGGCTAACACACTGCCCTGTTTTATTTTAATTCTATGATTTTATTTGACCGGGTCTCTCTATGTAGTCCATTCTGGCCTCTGACTCAAGGTAATCCTGTTTCAGCCTCCTGAACTGGGATTACAGGTGTTTTCAACAATGCTGGGCTTTTGACACCTTCTCACCACAGGGATGGTGATGCTGGACCCTTGAACAGCCCCTATTGCCCAGGCTATATTCATTTCTTTTTCTGACGATGTGATAAACTGTCTTGCTTCAAGCAACTTCAGAGAGGAAGGGTTTCTTCTGGCTCCCAGTGCAAGGGTACAGTCCATGGTGACAGGGAAGGTGTGGCAGCAGGTGTTCAAGGCAGCTGTCAGTCATCTGCAGTCAGGAAGCAGAGGGAGAAGATCGATGGTGCTCCGCAGCCCAGGGAAGGGTGGTGCCCACAGTCAGGGTCAGTCTGCCACTCCCATTAACCTAAAATAGACAATTTTTCCAGATAATCCAGATCCCACTGAAAGCCTGACTCTAGCTCACATCAAGGTGAAAAGAAAAACTAACAAGGACAACTACTGGAAACAAGAGTTTTGCATATATGCCTTGACCATTAGCGGAAATAAGACAGCAAGCCACATGGTAATAGGCATGATGTGTACAGACAGATCTTACCCTCTGTGCTTTGTAGTTTCATATTTGTGTGTGTGTATGAGCCAAGGTCTCACAATGCAGCCCAGGTTAGCTTGAATTCATCATACAGCCAAGGCTGGCCTAGAACTAGCAAAGGTCTTGTCTCTGAATTCTGAGTGTTGGGGTTTTAGGCCCTAACCACCATACTAGTTTTCCCATCCTACATGAATTGGAGCTGCCAACACTGGGACATTGTCTTCAGGAAAGTCAGTTCCAAGGATGACACTGCCCCCTATAGGACATCTTGGAGATCCATCTGCTCTAAATAAATACCTCAAGTTGTTTCTGGAAAAACACTAAAGAAATAACTCTTGTTAAGGTCCCCAGGGAGAAACACTTACCAGACTCAACAGTTGGCACTTGTACTTCATTCCATTCAAAGCATGAACAACACGTGACACAGCTAACCACTTAACCTCCCTCAATAGTGTTAACCTGTGAGTCATCTCAACACCCGATAGTTGACTTTTTGAGGCAAGGTCTCACTGTATAGCTCAGGCTTGTCTGGAGCCCACTGTGTAGTTAGGCTGGCCTCTGGTTTGTAAAGATCCTCCTGTGTGGTGATATACTGTTTATGATCAATAAATCTTGCCTGGAGATCGGAGTGCAAAGCTAGCCACAGCCATAGAGGCCAGGCAGTGGTAGCCACACCTTTAATCCCAGGACACAGGAAGACAGATGCAGATGGAACTCTTTGAGTTCAAGGTCACCCAGGGCTGCATGAGAGTGAATCAGTTTAAAGAGAGACAGAGCTCGGGCCTTTAATCCCAACACTGGAGACTAGGGAAGGAGCTCAGTGCAGTCTCAGAAGCAGTTGGTGTTTCGGTGGAGAGCATTGCTGGGGGCTTTCAAGTCCTCTTTTCTCTCTGTCTCTGTCTCTCTCTCTCTCTCTGTGTGTGTGTGTGTGTGTGTATAAAATTTGCAGAAATTAGTTCTGGCCCTCCACCATGTAACTCAGTAATCAAACTCAGGCTGACTGCGGCTTGCTAGGAAGTGCCTTTACCTGCTGAGCCATCTTGCTGGCCAGTAGCCTTTAATTAAGAAAAAAGAAGTATGTATGTTAAGCACATATGTTTGTGAGGGTCTGCATGTGGAGACCAAAGAGCCTTCCTTAATTGTTCTCCACCTTCTATATAGCGACAGGGTCTCTCTTGAACCCAGAGCTCACCTCATCCAGCTAGCCAGCTTGCTCTGGGGATCCTGTCTCCACCTCCTGCAGGTTCAGACTACAGGTGGGGAGCCACACCCATCTGGCATTTATATAGGTGTAGCTTTGGAGCCTATCCTCCCATCTGGCATTTATATAGGTGTAGCTTTGGAGCCTATCCTGGCACTCGCTCTGGAGACCAGGCTGGACTCTAACTCACAGAGATCCGCCTGCCTCTGTCTCCCAAGTGCTGGGAATGAAGACTTGCGCTGACACCACCTCCCGGTGGGACCTTGGGTTTCAAATTCTATCTCCATCTCCTCAGTGCTGGGATTACAGGTAGTCAGGGTTAGGATTGGGGTATTTTGTGTTTTGCATTAGCGTATATTAACCATACATAGTGGATTTCCCTATGCGAATATATAGCATATAATGCACTTTGACCATATTTACCCCCTTACGCCTTCTCGGGTCGCCTTCCTCTTCCCATCTAGTCTTCTCTAGGGCTAGGATACTTGAGTGAGCATGGAGGTTGGGAGCACTCAGGAGCGCTTCCCGCGGGGGGGGGGGGGGGAGCTGCAACTGGGGACAAAAGAGAGGAGTCCAAGAAGGCGGTGGCCACAGGCGAGGACGGTAGCCAGGGTGCTACACCTGGACACACGCTCGTCGCCAATCCGTCTCCACTCCACGGAGCTCGCGGGCAATCAGTGCGAGCGCATGCGCCGTAACAGACGTCACACATGCGCAGAGACCAGCAGTTGTAGGAGGCGGGGTCTACATGACCCGGGGTTCGGAGTAGGCGGGAAACCGAGGCGATATTTCCGCTTCCGTCAGGGGAAGGAAGTTAGTGTCTCCCGGGTGAAGCGGCCTTGGCTGCGAGGAAGAGCTGGTACAGGTAGGTTCCTGGGTCTCGCGCGC